CCTATGTGTCCTAGACATATTACCTTAATGCCGGGTTTGTTGAAGCTATACGGCATTCCCGTGGATATCGCACACCCATACCGTTTGTGGGCGGCGTCGTAGCGCATAGCGATGCGTCGTCTATCTTTCGGATTGGGATGAGTGTGTTTGGTAGCACTTTTAAGTGTAACAGGCATACTCAACTTCATGTCTTAGTGCATTAGCGCTATGACACGTGGAGTTTTGTTCACTGGCGTCTTAGTGGCGTGATACTATGATACGTTGGTGATATTTTTTAGTTAACAATACAAAATTTGTTACCAAAGTCGATAGGGATCATGTGGGTGTGTTGTGAGGGGGCGCCATCCGTATGATAGTTGCATTGATGCTTACTGCTACTTGCAGTATTGCATCTTGTGATGGATCTGCGGGTGTGCTGCGCCTGATTCGACGCATTCTTGTGGTTCTGGTCGATGGAGGTATGCGAGTGGTGATGTCTGCTCGGATGTATGGGGAACCTTGGAATGGTGTAACCCTGACGATAGTCGTATTGATGCTTGTTGCGTTCTGCAACATTGCGTCTCTGCGATGGTTGTTTGGTGCGACGCTATTCTCAATGACGCTCTCTGCGTCTTGGTTTGACTCACACCTAAGTAGCTTTGTCCAAGTCGGGTCCCTTCAATTCAATACCCGTATATTCAATAAAATTACGGGGCTGCAGACTGTCTGACCTCCATGTTGTTTTATATAACAACATAATATGATAATAATATATATCTGTAACTTTCCCACCTTTGAATGATTGAAGGCAACTTGTTGGTGAGTGAGACAAACATGATCGAAAATGCATTTACTCAACGTCAGTGACACAAACCCTTTCTGATGGCAAATTATTACTAACTTCTTATAACTGCCTTTTGGCTATATCTGCCGTTGTATTGGTTGGTGGACTCACCCCTGCGGGCGGGAGAATCTGAGGACTTCAGGCTGCGGCCAAAAGCTGCACAACGTGGGACCCCATTCCCTTGAGGTGAGCGGTAGACTCATGACACGCTCTGCGGCTAGTAGCCGTGCTGATCATGCAATTGGTGATGATGCCATACACTTACATCACGTCTGCAGGAGCGGCGGTCTGGCAGGTGGTGGCGCTTACAGAGGGTTCACGGCCAATGTGCCTATTTGCCTAAAGCGTGTGACGTACATTCACTGTGGCTGGATTCGTTCGTATTCTGTATGACGTTTACAAGAGGTCAAGCCTCTTTTACTGCTTCGCCAATTATTTTGCTGAGGCCTACGGTCCAGTTCCCGAATTAGCGTCCTCTTCGGGTGGAGTGCATCAAAAAGGTTGGCGCTCACCGCGCACGGCGTATGTGGGGACGTGTGCCTCCCCTACATTTTTTTTAATAAATGTAGGAGAGCGAAGCACTTATAACGGGTATTTTGTATAAATATATTGTGAACCTTTTTTCCAAGCGGGAAGGAATAAATAATAATTAATAATATAAACCTGATACAAGTGGAATAGGGACGTTTTATGTTCTTAACCTTTCTCGAGCTCTGTCTTCGTGAACGGGGTTCACTTAGCTTATAAGGCACTACCAACAGCTTTCAATTGCTTTAGTGAATATTCGTTCTTCCAAATGACAACTAAAAGAACTAAGTTACTAAACAAACACAACATAAATAAGGGTCCTAACTAAGACGATCGCGCCATAAATATTACAAACGGCCTGTTATTAAGCCTTTAGAAAGATCAAAACATATTTTATTTATCCTGGTCACAAATATATAATTTTATTGAAAAGGGGTAAATTAATTATATATAATATATTTAATATCATATATATTTATATAGAGGGGGGGAGCGTTACAATATCAATGTAACCTATGTATTTCATGATTGTATGAAGCTCCTTTTCTCTACGACTATAAGCATGAATCGGGCATCGAGCGTTCTGAGTATCAAATACTATGGAGTTTATACTATCCTGGCACACTGAACCGTGCGTCTAATGCGCGAGCATCTAGTGACACTTCAGGAACAGTACTAAATATGTATACCTAACTATGATAAGTTTTATCATTGCGACTTTGGAATATAACCCGAATCTCCACTCAACCCCTTGAGGAAAATAGCGTGATACTATGAATATTATACTGGTGTGACCCGTGAGGTGCGAATGGTTAAGTAACGTTATACATTTTTTTCATTCCATTGTGTGGGAATAAATATAAATAATAATAATACTATCTATCGATTCATCATAAACATTCAAGATAAATATCGACATTAATATTAATATAGTTGTCAATCCTAGCGTACATGTAAAATATTTTGTATAAAACTGTATTAACCTAATGCATGCAAATTTTCAACAGCGTGACTTTTTTTCTTTGCAAAATATCAAAATTAACAAAGTAATTGAAAACATTCTATATTTTAAACATTATATCTAGAACATAAATTTTAGGTAGATAGTGTAAACAACAAATAAACCTGAAATTCGATTCCTAACAGAAATGTGAGCGTATTCTACTTAATTAAAAGTCTTGTTAGTAAACAAAGTTTTCATTTTAGTGTTTTGTGTTATTATAATTTAAAATATTTTAAATACTAAAAACAAGCATAGGTATGTAAGTAGATACTTGGATAGTGAAGTAAATTTTATCTTAAGTTTTTTAATAAAGTACTTGGGTACCTATTACTTCTTTAGATAAATTATTACTTAAATATTTATTTTGCTATAAGTACCTATCTAATAAAAAAAACGAAGTAAATTCAACCAATCCTTCGATAACTTAAAGAATTATGTATCTGAAACCTTTTTTTTTTTTTGGTCACTTAGCATCCATCAACTCAACAATTATATTAGGGAAGACTTTTTCCATTACAATTTATCAAATAGGTAATATACATAATTTTTAAATTACCTACATTAAAACGTTTTCAACTATTTTATCCTACAATTAAATATACTAAACACTAAACAAAACTATTTCAACATATATTTACAAAAAACTATTTATGTAAATAGCGTTAAAAAACTTAAGCATTCAATCGCCCACAACGTGCTAGCCCCGACTGCGTAAGTTGGGTGGGTGCTTCGTGATTTTTGGTATTTTTTTCACGCAGGTAGCAAGAGTGACAGAGACATTTTTTTCACCCAGGTCTCCGTGGATATAAAGAGTCCTCGGCCCTCAGTGTAGTTTGTAGTAGTGTAGTAAATAGCTGTCAAAGCTTCAAAAATAATTATGATGATATTAGGAAAATATGAGTTTTAGTGGAAATGCGGATGAGGGAGTTAATTCTCGAAAAGAGGTACGAAATTTATTTAATAAAGTGACTAAACTCGATACTAATTCTTAGAATAAGTTTTAGAGATATTTGTGAAGGCAACAAGCTAATATTGTCATTAAAAGAGTTCGTGAGTAACATACGACACGAATCGGATCAAAAAATAAAAATATGTGAGGAGGAAGCTAAAGCTAAAATACTAGAGTGGGAGCGGAATAAAGTGACATAAACATGAGACGAATTACTTCAAAATTTTCAGTTAAAGTCAAAAGGTTCAAAATTTTAAAAAACTAAACATTGCTATGGATAAGCTGTTTTGGATTTTGGATTGAAATAGAAAATACCAAGTCTATGAGGGTATATAGTAAGAAATTCAATTTTTTAATGAATTTGATTGATTAATGGATCTGGAAAGTGTACCTACGTAACATTATTGATTATTATCGAGATGACTGAATGAATTTGGTTAAAATCTTATCTAAGTCTAAATTAGTGTCCTAACTTCGTACAGTGAAATTTTTGTGCTAATTAATGAAAAGAAAATATGTTATTGATTTTTGAACGTTGTCAAGTATTAGTGTACCGTAAAACGGAGCGCTTTTTCTGCAGGATGTCGTATATAGAAAATAAAATATAGGTCAACAATGTTGAACAATCGACTTAATAATTCGTCAGTTCTTTCTATAATTTGTGATTTAACAAAGGACTGATAATGTGATGAGTAAATAAAGGAATTTGCAGCGCAAAAATCTAGAAAAGTCTTTATAATTTATTTATATAACTACACATAACCTTTTAATTTCTTAGTAATGCAATAATGTCTTACAGTTACTGTTTGTGTATCTAAGTCATGTTTTTTCCAGACCGTATACATCATTATAGAAAACAGTTTTTGACTATGTTAGTTTGATTAATTTGGTAGGGCACAAACTCAGTCTGCCCCTGCCTATTTAATGATTCCTTATTTATAAATATAGTCAGTATTTATCAGTGGTCTTGGTTTTTATTTCGCTCCCGGGTCACCACCTTTACAACTGTATGTGAAGGAATAAATCCACTTAATGTAATTTATCTTTTACTGACTGTTATACTGAAATACGAAAGAATATCCGATTATTATGAAAAGATATATGGAAGAGAGACCAAGATAATAAAAGCAAATGTTATGGAAGTATCCAGGAAGAAATAGCTGTAAAGCCTTGGTATGCCAAATTGAAAGAAGCAAGTTCTGACTATAGTACAACTATAAATCGACTGCGGTGATTAGCCAGTGAAGTGTATGTCAGTGACAGTAAAAACGAACTATTAGCAAATAATAACCCCTGCCGCTTATAATACAATAAATCCACAATAGAAAATCATAAAAATGAAGATCTCGAATGAAATAATGACATGGCTTAAAGTATAAGCATCCGAGCGAAAAATCATATTCAAAAATATTGTCTATGACAATATTTTTATTTAGGCGATTTTGTAGTTTTCATATACAAAGGTACTCTGTGGTAGTTTTGTAGTTGATGGAAAATTAGAAATTGTACGGTGTGTAAATAGCTGAAAAGTGAAAAATGATTATATTCCCTTGAAAAAAGAATCAACTAGTGAGATAATTTAGAATTTTGCAAATATGGCGTATTATATTTGTTTTTTAGATTTTATTATATTGTGATACAACATCTTCCACTACAAACCCTGCAAAATATCTGCGGATCTATTCTAATCCTTAAAAATGTCTGCGGAATCTGATATGGAATATTCGGACAACGATGGCGACGACTATGATTATTACGGAGAACAAGATGATTGCGATATGGAGACAGTGGATCGCAGCAAGTCTGACCCTGAGCATTTTATATTTTCCTGTTTGAAAGTTGAAGAAGTTGAGAAATTGTTAAATGAATCGATTGAATTGCTAAGCAATAGTCTTCAAATCACACCTTCACTCGCAAAGGTATAATCTATTATATCACACCCAAAAACTTAAAAAATATATTGTTTTTATCCTTTACTATGTAACTATTTGTTTACATTTTAGGTGATGCTACATGCCTATGAATGGAATGCTGAAGAAATTATAAATAAATATAAAGAGAATGCCAATGATGTTTTAGTTTTCAGTCATGTTAAACCAAGAGTACCTTCCATTCAGGGCAATTCCAGTCGAACAGTGTGTGCTGTTTGTGCTAATACACCACCTATTCATAAATATAGTGCATTAGCTTGTGGACATTACTTTTGCAATGATTGCTGGGCAATGCATTTTGAAGTACAAATAAAACAAGGTATACTTTTATTAGATGATGAATATTATGGTAAAATTATAGACATCCGGTACTTGCATACGGGAATGAGAGAGAAACCTTTTTTTTTGGTTATTTAGCATCCATCAACTCGACAATTATATTAGGAAAGACTTTTTCCATTATCAAATAGGTAATATACATAATTTTTAAATTACCTACATTAAAACGCTTTCAACTATTTTATCCTACAATTAAATATACTTTTTTAAATATACTTTAATTAATATAGAGAGGGTGGGGAAGGGAAGGGTTCTGGGGAAGCTCCCTTACTATTCCGCCTTTGTGGAAATATATAATTTATGAGTAATATTTTGTTTTGTAAAATCATAACCTCACTTTTTTACACAGGAATATTGACAATTATTTCTGCAAGAGCTTCGGCACTGCAGGAAGTGCAACCCCTTTGCCTTTACGTACCAATTCACAGGCACCCGTGCTTACCTTCTCCCACAGATGCCTGCGATTTGCTACAGCAAGCATGGGCTGCTCTCCTTTGCTTCTACGGCTTTACAAAAACACTAGGGGTAGGGCAGACAAGACTATGTGAAGTCTGCATTCTGATTCGGTTTTAGTACAAATTCAATCTTTCTTATTTATAACAATTGCTCAATCTCAGGTCCGGTAAGCAAGCCAAAGTCCAAGGTAACACAATTAAATCAAATCCAGAACCAAAGCCAAGATCAAACGTAAGGGTAATCAATAAAAGTTCAAAAATAGAGCAGAAGTCGTTGAAAAAACAGGGAAAACAGCACTAAGAACAGGAGAAAACATTCACATGACCACTAGAGAAACGGAGTGAAGATTGACATTTGACATCATAGATAATATATTATATTTGACATTGATAGATGTCCACAAAATGGCCGTTAACACTTCTGTTTCGCACTTTTTACATCGGTCTTTTACATATAACCTCATAATACTAGACCACATTGTCATATTTGCATTTAGTCATATGCAATTTTCAGTGAAATTTATTTTTATCATAATTAATTCAAAACACATTTCTGACATCCAAAAACAGTGTAAAAGGTTTGGTTTAAGCTTAACCCTGACAAGCCTCCTAAACTGAAAAAATTATTAAGTACCGGATGTCTATAGCCAACCCTATAGTATATATTTTACATTGATCACTACAATTTTTTCAATTTGAATTTCAATTTATTTACTGTGAAACATTTTGATTTTATATGTGGTTTATCTTGGAGAATAATATTTATTAAAGGCTATATAATTTTAATGTCTGGTTGCCGCCACTTATACCATTGAATGGTATCAATCTATATATATTGTCATAAGGATATTATCGCACATCATGACAAAACTTGTGATACCATCCATGTCATCTACATGACTGACGGTCCACCACTGTGCGATTTAAAAGAAGTTTTCTTTCTCTCACAACTTCTTTTTCTGGACTGATACAACTTCCAAGAAAAGAAAGGCTGGCAACACATATGCAATTCCCCTGGTGATCCAGTTGTTCATTGGTGACCGTAATCACTTACCATCAGGTGAGCTGTATGCTCGTCTGCCCCCTATAAAAAAAAATTAGGGAATTTTTGGATTGCCTCCTCAAAAATTTACATTTTTCCTACTGTTTAAAATGTTATATATTCAGGCCATATATGTTAATAATTTTTAAGCAATGACTAGCTATACCCAAAATTTCATATTTACAATATTAAATGATACTCTATTGAGGTTTAGATATGATTACTTCTTTGTATAGTTTATGATGCACTTATTTTTTGTGTGGGCTGGAATATTGAGATTATTCGATATGAAATTTCCTTGAAGCAGTCCTTTGATTGTTGTTGACATCAGAAAGCAACTTTGGCATGCCAAATAGGAACCATGCCCAGTAATAGCACTTTTTGCTATTCTGATCTTTGATTTGTTAAACAACTACTTATTGCTGATAGAGGGCTTCTTTAGCTTGCCTAGTCTTCTGAAATTGTCCAAAGTGTCCAAAACCAATTATGCACATCCCCAAAACAGAATGGGCATAATCAGTTTCGGCTCTATGGTGTCTTGGGCCAATCCTTCCCTGGCTAGTTTGCTGCATTGTTGCCTCGGGCCTCTGGATTCTCTGTCATTTAATCCATTGCAAAATCACATTGTTGTATTTATGTACCTCATTTAGTTGTTGATGACATTTGTATGTTAGCCCAGAGTTTATTACACTCCAACACAGCCGGAATGGTGGTTACCATGCTTTCGATCAATATTCTGATGGAGAAGTCCTTTACCTTTCTGGCATCTATCATCATATTCATGTATAATATCAGCCTGAATGTCCATGTAATGGTTACCTGGCCGTGTATACAGGTTTAGTTCAAAATATAGGCATAAAGAGTGAATATACCTTTACCTATGGACATCATAACTGTTGAGAAAATAAAAAAATTTTACCAGAAAACTCTCATGTTTTTCGAGTTATGAGACATTTACCAAATTTTCTAAATTATTTACTCTTATTCATACTTTTTGGTGCCAATCAAATCAATCATCTTTGGTCTATGTAACTGTCGTTGTTGTCTCTTTTTTGGGTTCATTGGTGCCCAATATTTTTTATTTACATAGCCCTCCAAAAAAAAAAAATTGGCCTCATCGCTAAAAACGAAGTTATTGTGTCTATGCTTCTTTTACAGTGGTAGAGCCACGCGGCATCTTTGCTGTTTCACATATGGGCCGGCTCAAACCGGGGTGGTACCACGACCTCACAGAATACCGGCGTGAAGTGGAAGGCCGGAGGCCCAAATCCCCCCCCCCCTCCCCATCAACATGGTTGGTATGCCGAAACAGACCGACTCTTCGACCACGTCTAAATGGCTACAGATTCGTTGCTACAGCAGATCCCCTCCGCAGAGATCGTGATCCTCGGCGACTTTAACGCCCATCACGCCGAATGGCTTGGTTCACGTTTAACTGATCATGCGGGGAGATCTGTTCATGATTTTGCCTTGGCATATGGTCTGACACAACTGGTTACTTCGCCTACGCGGATTCCAGATGTGGAGGATCACACCTTCCTTTTGGACCTTCTGCTTACCTCTCACCTAGACGGATATCAGATTTCCGTCGACGCCCCTTTAGGCTCCTCGGACCATTGTCTTGTCCGGAGTGTGGTGCCACTCACGCCGAAATCGCAGTTGCATTCTGCAGTCTGCCGCCGTGTTTGGCACTATAGGTCAGCTGATTGGGATGGGATGAGGTCTTTCTTTGCATCCTACCCTTGGGGGCGGGTTTGCTTCTCACCGGACGATCCCAACGTTGTTGCGGATTCTGGCGCTGATGTGGTACTTCAGGGTATGGAACTTTTTATTCCTTCCTCTGTGGTGCCCGTTGGAGGCAAATCTCAGCCATGGTTTGGTCGCTCCTGTAAAATAGCATCATGCTATAAGCAGGAGTGCTACCAAGCCTAGGCTGACGCATCAACGTCCCGGGATGTAAACACCAGCGCTATAATAAAGAAGTATAATTCCGCCTCTAGGTCCTTCGAAAGAGTCATTGCCAAGGCAAAGTCAGAGCACATAGGCAGAATTGGCGAGAAACTAGTTCGCCTTCCTTCTGGAACCCGTGCATTCTGGTCTCTCGCCAAGGCTGTCCAAGGGAATTTCTGTCAGCCATCTCTGCACGGGGAGGACGACTCACTGGCCCATACCGCAAAGGAGAAAGCCGATCTGCTATGCTCTTTCTTTGCGTCCAACTCGACTCTCGATGACGGGGGAGTACGCCGCCGACCATCCCGCGGTGTGAGTGCTCCGTGCCGGAAGTGCAGTTCACACAGCGCTCGTTTCGCAAAGCACTCCTCTCCCTGGACATCCACAAGTCGAGTGGGCCTGACGGAATCTCCCCAATTGTGCTGAGGACGTGTGCTCCAGAGTTGGCACCGGTTTGAACGCGTCTTTTCCGGTACTCCTACTTCCTAGGCGTAGTACCAAAATCATGGAAGACGGCTTTCGTCCACCCGATCCCTAAAAAAGGCGACCGTTCAGACCCGTGCAACTACCGGCCTATCGCCATCACCTCCTTGTTCTCCAAAACAATGGAGTCTATTGTTAACTGCCAGCTCATGAGGTACCTTGAGAATTACCAGCTGATTAGTGATCGCCAATACGGTTTTTGCCGTGGTCGGTCAGCTGGTGATCTTCTGGTCTACCTAACTCACAGATGGGCGGAGGCAGTAGTCCAAGGGGCAGGCATTGGCCGTTAGTTTGGACATTGCGAAGGCCTTCGATCGGGTTTGGCACAAAGCGCTTCTTTCGAAGCTCCCTTCCTATGAGCTTCCCGACAAATTGTGTGATTGGATCACCAGTTGTCTTGCAGATCGGAGCATCAAGGTCGTTGTAGACGGTGCAAGCTCCGATTGCAAGCCTATGAATGCCATTCCACAAGGCTGCGTGCTATCGCCAATGCTGTTTCTTCTGCATATCAATGATATGTTGCAAACCCGTAACATTCATTGCTATGCAGATAACAGCACTGGTGATGCTCTTTACACCGGCCGAGCCAATATTTCTCGGAAAAACGTCTCCGAGTACCGGGACAAACTTGTGTCTGAAGTCCAGTCTTTTCTGAACAGAGTCTCGGATTGGGGGCGACTAAATTTAGTCCAGTTTAACCCCCAGAAGACACAAGTTTGCGCGTTAACCGCTAAAAAGAACTCCTTTGTCGTATCTCCTCAGTTTCAAGGCACTCCCCTTGTTGCCTCAGCCAGTATCGGAATCCTCGGCGTTGACATAACGAGTGACGTGCAGTTTCGTGGTCACTTGGAAGAGAAGGCCAAATCACCCTCACAGAGGACTATTTCATGCGGACACCGCCTGCAACTTTTCAAGGCGCAGGTTCGGCCGCACATGGAATACTGTTCCCACATCTGGGCTGGGGCTCTCCAGTACCAGCTCCTTCCACTTGACCGCATCCAGCGCAGAGCGGCTTGAATCGTCGACGACCGAGTGCTTTCCGATCGGCTC